AGAGGGGTAGGAAAAGGAGTTGTAGTCATGAAATGGGGGTGGGCGATGGTCGGCGGGTAAGATGAAATGACTGGGGGAGGAGTCATCTAACGGGGATGGGTTGAGAGAGTTGTTGAGAGGTAGAGCCAGCATGCCCTGCCTGAGCTGAGGTGACAGCGCAGCCGTGTGGAAGTGTTGAGAAGAGAGAGGGCGTGCCGAGAATATTGACAACGGGCAAGGCACCAAACCAGATCCCATGCCAACCCCCTCAACAGAAAGAAAGGGAAAAAAAAAAGGACACTCACTCTCCTCCGCCTCCGCCTCCCCAAACAACCCCACCATCGTCGCCCTCAACACCTCCGGCTTGTGCGTCGCGGCCGCGTGCTCCCAGTACTGCGAGAAGAACTCGTCGAGCGCCTTGGTCAGACGCGGCTGCTTCCCGTCAGCGGCGGCGGCATCCGACTCGGCGAGGCCGCACAGGGCGCGCATGATGGGCAGCGTGTTGGCCGGGAAGTCGGGCGGCAGGCCGGGGGTCATGGGCACCGAGAAGTGGCGCGCCCACCGCAGGCGCTCCGTGTTGATCCAGGTGTCTTTGTCTGTGTGCGTACGTGGCGTGTTAGTCACTGGCTGCTGTGTGGGCGGTGGCGGGATGGAGATAGACGAGGACGTACTCTTGATCTTGATGGGGGCGGTGTTGCCACACTGTGGAAAGACGGGAGTGGTTAGTTAGTTTCAGTTCGAATTCAGCCTTGGATAGCCGAGGAGATCAGATCAGAAGACACACACCTTGTGCATCAGTCCGCCGAGGAAGATGGGCACGTAGGTGATGTCGCACCCCTTGAAAACCTCATCGTGCTGTCCTTGTTATCAGTTTCAAGCCGTCAACATCCCTATTTGGGTTTGAACATACCCTGAGGATGTAATACGCCAGATACGCAAACGGACTAACGGTATCGACGTAGAGAGTGATCTTGGGCGCGGCCATCTTTGCGGTGGCGACTTGTAGAGAGTTTCTGAGTGTGGATGATAGACGCATGCAGGTTGCTGAGAGATCAGAATTTGCCACCGATGGTGATTGTAGGTCGGGTATAAGTAGTTGACTTAGTTGTCATGGATGTTGTGAGTGTTGCACGAGAACAAAGATGGTTGGGGATGAAGATAGAGTTGATAACTAATCACACCCGGTCCACACAACCTGGAGACCACGCCAAACTCAAATGTTGTACGTCCCGGGAAAGACAGGGATGTAGGACTAGCAATTCAACACCTCAACAAAATAGAAACCACCGCTAAATGGGGGATGTTGTCCGAGATGCACCTCTACTTATACCCACGTGTATCCTGCCGACCCAACACCGAAGAAGCGAGCCGAGGGATCGGGTCGACGGCAATGCAATGCTAACCCCGCATCCAGATTGTGGGGTACATGAACATGTCTACGCTACACTAGAACGGCGCCATGGAATGCCACAAGCCAAATCCTGGATTCACTATTGTACTGCCCCGTACATGAAACGTAGCCGTACATGCTTCAACTCACAGCTGCCTCCATACCTACACCGGCACAGTTTACCTACCCAATATCTATGCATCATCCCCGGACCCCTCACAGCGTCTCCTACCCTGCTCCCATCCCCAAGAGCCGCCTAAAACGCAGCAATGCTGTGTTCGGTCGGTAGTTTGGTGAGTACATCAAACGAACCCGTGCCGACCGTGCCGAGCTTGCCAACGACGAGCCTGCTGGATGGCGTGGTGAGGCTGTCCCAATCGCCGTCGAGAACCGCGTCTTTGAGGAAGCCGACCGTGGTTTCTGTTGCACAGCGTCAGCATCGTTACGCAGAGTCAAAAAGAAGATTATTATTTTAGACTTACCGTAGCTCATCTTGGTAAAGGGGCTGACGTTGCCTGTCAGGCCGATACGGTTGAAGGCCGAGAAACCGCCATTTCTACACGCGACAGTTAGCGATACGCACTATGAGAAGCAAGACACGAGAGGCACCCACCTGGTCATGTAATCGGCAATGAGGTTCAGATGGCGGGGATCGACCGCGATACCGTGACCGGCGAAGACGCCGCTGAGTTCCGCGACGATATTGCTCCGGCACGCTTCCACGCCGTACACCTCCAGCACCTGTGCGATATCGTTGGTCGAGATCCTGTTGGGGTTGATGTAGTCGCCGTACTGCTGCATGGCCCGGAGGTTGGCGCCGTCGGTGTGCACAAGCATCTCGACTATGCGCTCTTCGCCCGTGGCCTCGTCCTTCCTCTTCTTGGGCTCGAATGCCGCGTTGCCGATGCGGTGGATCTGCTGGATAACCGACTTCTTGACCGCCTCCTGCACTAGGCTGAGCATCAAGATCTTGGGAATCGACGCGTCAAACTCGAGCGTGAAGTCGACCCATTCTCCGCCCGCCTCGTCGCACCGGAACCGCGCCACGTGCTCATTCTTGCTCTTGATGCGCGCCTCGCGCGACCGCGACCGCTCCTCGTCCGTCTTGTCGCCTAGCTCATCCTCGGGCTCAGGGCTGCCGCCGTACGCCTCGTCGACAAAGTCAAGCCGTTCCTCGCCCTCCTCGACGTCGTCTGTCTCCCGTTGGAGTTGGTTCTGGATCTCGTCATCCTCATCATCGTTCGGCCCGTACGAGACCGCCTCGGACCGGTTGGCCCTCTGCTTGGCGCTCGTGGCGTCGTCATCCCCTTCGTCGTCGTCGTCCTCATCATCTCCAGTTGTGACCCTTTCTGAAGCGGGGGGCGCCGTTTCCACAACGCCGGACTTGACGCCGACCTCGGGCGTAGCCGCGCTCTTCGACTTTTGCTTCTTCTTGATTTCTTTCCTGGTGAGCAGAGAGAGCAGCGGGATGAACTTGCGCTCCACTGTGTTGAGTACGTCAGCGATGTTAATAGCATACATGCTGGCGTAGTCGCCGGCCTCGAAGAACCGCAGCCGGATCTCGAACGACTTAGCCAGCGCGTATCCAATCCCGCGGCCAACGCGCTCGCGGACAACCGCCTCCTTGGTGACGTGCGCAAGCGGGAGCACGCTAATGGACTTGGCAAATTGCTCGCCATCGAGTTCCGAGAGCTCCTCGTTGAGCACAAGGGTCATAGACGGCGTCGAGATCTTGGAACTAGCCGTCATCAAGATTTCGCGGAGACGCGGGATACCCAGTGTCACGTTCTTGGCCGAGTGACCTGCCAAATGGAACGTGTTCAGTGTCATTTGTGTGGACGGCTCTCCAACAGACTGGCCGGCGACGATACCAACCGCCTCGCCAGGCTCGACCAAAGACCGGATGTACTTGGCTGCCAGAATCTTCTCGGCCGTCTTGCGGGCGATTTGACCCTTTTGGCTGTCTGACCCCTTCTTCTCCTTGATCAACCCGTCCTTGTTCGTCTTGACGTAATCCATCATCTTGCTGTAGAACTTCTCCGATGTCGCAAACGCAAAGGCGGTGGGGTCAACCTCCGATGATACCGGGTCGAGTGGATTGCGAGTGCTGCTAGATCGGATGGCGCTCTTCATCCGCTTCATGATTTCGTCCCTGTGTTCAAACAGGGCCTGGGTGCCGGACTCATGATACCTAATCTGCGGCAGCTGCGAATCGAGGTTGCGAAGGACAAACTCGAAATCATTGAGATACTTTTGTTTCCCAATATCGATGCCGTCCTCACCAAAGAGGAACTGCACAACGGTGCCGTCTGAGTCTCGCACCGACGAATCGTACGAGACCCTCAGACCCTCCATGCCCTTGATCAAACATCTCTGGAGGTAGCCGGAGCGGGATGTCTTGACGGCCGTATCGATTAGACCTTCGCGACCGGCCATGTGATGGAAGTAGTACTCCTGCGGGCGAATGCCCGTCAAGAAACGGTTGACAATATAACCACCTGCCCTCACATCGGTGTCGTAGGGTTTGAAGCTGGGTAGGGTCTTGCCGCTCACCATCACAGGGACACGGCGGCCTTCAAGAACCTGCTGACCCAGGTTGCACGAGATAAGGTTGGCGTTGACGGGACTACCCTTGGCACCAGAAGTCGTCATAGACTGCATGTGGTTCTTCGGGAACTGCTTCTCGAGACCAGCAGGCAGGCACAGCCTGGTGATTTCGGTCGAGAGCTTGGCGCATTCCTGACTGGTAAGCAACTCGAGACCTTCCTGCTTCTTGTCGTCTCTGTGCACTTCCTCGAGACGCTCCAAAAGCAAGGGATCGTCCTTGGTCGGCTTCTGTTCGCCGAGCGAAACGTACTTGGCTGCCACCTCGATACCGATGTTTACCGCGGCCTTGATCGTTTCCTTGCGATCCTTCTCTCCCTGCGGCGTCATACGGAGATCGTCCATACCGCATGTGAAGGCGACCATGGCCAAGTATCGGGTTAATAGGCGGCCTATGCTGCTGAGCAGTTTCCCTGCCACCGATGGTCCATAAACCTCATGCACCGCGTGGACGAACCCCCCATCGCTTGGACCCAGCTGGGACTTGTCGAGGATACCGCTGATGAACTCGCCGTCGCGGAACATCACCTGGCCCTCCTCGGAGTCCTCTCCCCAGCTACGGCTCTTGACCTTAGCAGATCCGTTCATCCACAGATCGCCGCAATCGGCGGGTCTGATATTCTTCAGGATCGTTGTGATAACCTGCTTACCCGTCCAACGGGGCGCCGGTTTGATGATCGCCGGGGGCACGAGCTCAATCTTGTCACCCGTAATGTGGCCGCTCTCTGGTCAGAGAAAAAAAAAATATGAGTAGCTGATAAGCTCCTTGATCGAGGAATATGTCCTTGTTGCCCAGCTCCACTGAAACGGACATATGGTCCTGAATCAAACCACGCAGGGGGGTGCCGGCCGTTCCAGAGATATACTGGTGATCGGTATCGGAGAGTTGAAGCGCTTCGGCGCCCCTCACTTCGGTTAGCGGAAAATGCATGTTCATCTCATCTCCGTCAAAATCGGCATTGTAGGTGTTGCAGTTGGCATAGTGCATGCGAATGGTCTTTTCCCCGGGCAGGACGCGGACTCTGTGACCCATGATGGAGGGCTTGTGGAGTGTCGGTTGCCGGTTCATCAACACCACATCACCGTTGGTCAAATGCCGGTGTACCTTCTTGTTCCGCTGGCCACTGAAGTTGTTTCCGGTTGGAGCGAGAAGTTGGTTGGCGAGCGAGACACGGTCCTCCAGGGACTTTGCCCGTAGGTTAACAATCTGGCCGTTCTCATTCTCGATCGCCGCAGCACCAGGCCATTTGTCTGGGTTCGTTAGCATCGTAGACTTCAAACGGCAGCCCGCTGTGACTTACCAACACCGTTGATAACAGCTTGCCTGGTTGATTTTGTTAGTATGCTAAGGAACCACAAGGCGCACCCGGGGTGACTTACTGAAGGTCCTTGAAGTTGTGGCTCGTCACCGGCTCAGGGTATGTGAGTTTCCTGGCGAAAACAGGGGGGACACCGATTTCGTTGGTCTCAATATTAGGGTCAGGAGAGATAACACTTCTGGCCGCGAAGTTGACACGCTTGCCCATCATGTTCTTCCGGAACAGGCCTTCTTTCTTCTCCAGCTTCTGCTTGATACCTTCCTCGTTTCGCTTGGCGGCAGCACCCTGAACAGGGTTCTTGTCCCGGTCAATGAGCGAGTTGACGGCATCCTGCAGCTCTGTCCATGCCTGGTACAAAGAGCTCATATCCCTTGTCCTCCTGCTCTCATCCATCATGTCCTCCTTGGTTTGGCCGCTGATCTCTCGCGAGATCTGTGCCACGAGTGAAGCGCTCCTAAGAATTAGCTTGTAAAGGCTGTTTTGCTGGGCTTCGGAGATCTGGGAGTCTCCCATGCGAGCCTCTGGGCGATAGCGATTGGGGGGGACCAAAAGCGTCGATACAAAGAACATATCGGCTGAGAGCGGCTTGGAGTTCCTGGGACGAGGATTTGAGTTATATAAGAGGGAGAGGATCTCCTGCTCCCGTTCGAACAGCACTCAAGGCGCTTCTGGACTTCCATAGTGCTGA